GCAAATTTAAATTTTCTCCAGTGCTGTGGCGCTGCAATCTTTGGCTATGTCTTGGGCTACTCAAATATTTTACGTTTTTGATACTAAATTAACTTCTGAAATATAATTTTTTATTGTTTTTATATTTTTCAATATATTTATTTTGTTTGTACAAAATAAAAAAATAATTTTTAACGATACAATAGTCTTCGTTAGGCTTAACATCGACGAAAATTCAACGCGAAGCGACACGCAACGGAGAAAATTTTCAACACAGGATAAATTAATATATTTTTTCGTACATAATTGGTTATCTGAAAAATAAGTTATCCGAACAACCCCAGTCTCCAATTGATTCGGATAAATGACGCTCTGCTGTATTAAATCAAAGCATTTTGTAAAGAGAAACATTTGATATGTTTTCTATCTGAATTCTTAAGAGAAAATTTAAAATATATTTAAGATGAAAATCTTTAACAGATTCTTTTTAAAATCCTCTTTAATTGATTTTTGAAATTATGTGAAACTTCTTAAAGATATTTATAAATTACTTTTAAATTTCCAATGAATTAAAATCTAAAAGATATGGTATATTCACAATATGAGAGAAGTTTCATTATTTTATTACTTAAAACTTAGTTTCTGCATATGTTGTTTATTTTATGCAAAAATGGTAAAGGTTGTATTTTATATTACTTAAAAATTGCTGAAATGTAAAGTTAATGTGTTCAGTAAATGTAACATATAAATTTTCACATCAATAGAGAATCAGTTTCTATCAACTCTGATTTTTTGTTAGAAAGTGTGATATTGAAAATAAAATAATAATTGATATATTTTAAATAATATACAGTAGAGCGTCGATTATCTGAATGCAGATCAACCAAAACGTCAGTTAACCGAAAGCATTCCAGTTAGACTGTGTCGTGCTGAATCAAACATTTTTGATACTAGATTAAATTGTAGAGTATAATTTTTTTTTGTTTTTATATTTTTCAATATATTTATTTTGCTTGTACAAAATCAAGAAATAATTTTTAACTATACAATAGCTACGATTATTATTATAAAAATTTTCATTAGGCTTAACATCGACAAAAATTCAATGCAAAGCGACACGCAACAGAGAAAAATTTAAACATGTGATATACTAATATACTATATTAATAATGTATTTTTTTGTACATAATTGGTTATCTAAAAAATCAATTTTCCAAAACAACCCCAGTCCCCAATTGATTTGGATAATTGATGCTCTACTGTAATTTTAATTTAAATATACAGAATTTTAAAAAGATTTAATACATTAACAAGTAATATATGAGAATTTCTAAACAGTAGATTTCACTTTATATTTATAATAAATTGTTATGTTGCAGAATACTTTTTCTGGTAATGAAGGTAGCAGTGAATTCACAGCCAGTTTAGATGAAAGTGAGGATGATACAAATGATCATTCATTAATCATTGCTGAAACTCCTGTTTCTAAAAAGAAAAAATTTATCAGTAAAGGAAAAAGAGATAATAAAGAGAAAGCTAAAAATGCTAAAAAATCCAAAATTTCAGAAACAGAAGAATTAATTGATGCTACATCTTTAAAGAAAATAGAGAAGAAACCAAAAAAGAAAGAAACAAAGAAAAAAAATGAGGTATTTTTACATTGCAAATTTATGATCTACTGTTATGATAAGAAAATATTTTATCTAAACAATATATTATATCATTCTCATTAATCTTTTAACAGATGATTTTAAGCAGAAATCTAAATTCTATTAATCTAAAATATTTTCTGGATTTTTTTCACTTTTAATATCATATAAATAAATTACAACATAAACATATAAACTAATTAGTTGATATCAAATAACATTGTTTGCAAAAAATAATTTTATTTATATTAATAACAGATGAACTCATTCAATAAATAATGTAATAATAAATTATTAAATTATGTTAATATTAAATATATTCAAACAATTGAAAATAAATTACAGTCGACCCCCCCTATAATTATGGTCCCTATAATTACGATTCCTATAAAACTACGAAAAAATATACGTACTTTGGAAATGCTGAGTCGGATTAGTGTAGAATCGATTAATTTTATGGAAGAAAACCTTTCAATCAGCCGTAGTCCATAAACTTGACACGTGTCAGGCTGTGATTGGAAGGACTTGTAAGAAATCGGATTCCTAATAAATTGGAACGTATCTATATCTTATAGGGGGGTTGACTGTATATTTAATTTTGATGTAAATTTTTTAACTATCAAGTTCTAGAATGAACAAACTCAACATCAAAATTTTTGTTCTTAAAACAATTTATCTCTTAAAATCAAAAATTTTAAGTGTGACAGATCAAATTTCAAAATTTCACTTCTTGACAAATTTAAATTATCATTGAAGAAATATTTAATTTATAAAATACTTACAACATGAAAAAAATATGTGAATACATCAGTTTTTTTAAATTGAAAAATCTTAATTTATTTATTATCATCATCTCAATGCCAGGCCGCAATTTGTAATCATATTTTAATTTAAAAATTAACTGGGGCTTCCATTCCATAGCTTTCCATATCTCATCTTTTCATCTATCTAACTCTGTTCTAAAGATTAATGAAGAACAGACAGATGGATGATAGTGGGAATTTATAGGTCTGCAATTTGAAAACTGTGGTCCAAATATATGATGGCTATCAATGTCTAAAAGCTGAAATCAAAATATGTTTCATATGTTAAATGTTTCAAAATGCAATAGCAGTTACTTTTTAAAGATTTCCTGAGTTGTCATGATGGTACATGAAAGGTTGTTTAGGCTAGAATAGCAAATGCTAGTGATTATTCTATTTTAATTACATGACACAAAAACAGTACTACATTTATTATTAACATTAAAAGATGCATTCAATTGAATAGTTATTTGCTCGAAATTTGCTAGAATGAAAATAAACCATTCACCAGTTAATTTCAATATAAAATTTGCATATAACCCATCCTATCTTATAACTTTCACCTTTTTCAAACTGTCTTTTAAACAGAGATAACCCATAGGTTGTATGCATAAAAATATGGTAATTAAACCTTTGTTATCCTTACATAACACGATTTCTTTGTTCTGTTTATATCATTGCTCATTCTGAATTAATAAGTCATAATTTTATAATGTATGAACACATTTTATAAATGATTCAGCTAATTCATCTGTTTCTTTTTTTTTACATTTTCTGATAAATGAATTTTATATGTAATTTGCTTATATCTTTGTGAGAACATAGTAATAATTTGTTTTCAAAATTTTTAGAAAAACTGCTGTATATTAAAAAAGTAATAGATTCTTCATTGAAAAGATATTTTCCAAAATATTCTTTAATAGTTTATCCATTTCAATATGTAAAAAGCATAATGCACAATTAAAATTTGATAGAAAATAGAATTTGAGAAAATAAATTGAATAAAAACAAAATTTTCTTATTTTCAAGCTTTTTAATTTATTCTTCAGGAAAACTGTCAAATGGCATTCAAGCAAAAATTGTGTTGTAAGTTGTTAGTGTGGCTTGTCAAAAAAGTTAGAAAACAATAAGAGAGATTTTATTTTGATTCAATTTTTTTTTAATAAAATATTTTTGGGTTTAATTTTATTAAGAAATTTAGATAAAAAGTAATGATCTGTTATGTATGTTATGCTCTACAGTTTTCATCAATAAAGTTTTTGAATAAATACTAATAGTCTGGATTTTTATTTTAGTCAAAAATCTAAACTAATTCATAATTTTAACTGCAATTACCTGGAATTTTACAGTTTATTTATATAGACAATGTATTTATAGGATATCTGTCATTGACAATCTGATCTTTTCTCTCAAGATAGTTATTCAGTTAATGAAAATTGGTCTACTGTATTTTCAGATTAAACATCATTACATATGGTGACAATATCTAACAAAATATGAATCAGAACACTATGATACCCTATATTATTCAGTTTATTTACAATTTAAATCCATCAGACAGTTATTTGACATTATATATTTTCGTTAAAGTTATTTCTTAGTACTTGAAGATTGTGTAAATTCAATGAAATGTATTCAGACATGTTTTAGTATACAGTACCTAGATAAGTTAAATACAGATTTGAAGTTTTGAGTATTTTAATACTTAGAATGTTTATTATTGATATCTTATTTTGTATTGTATAGATTAAAGCTGTTTGTCAAAAATCATTGAATTTTATTTTGAATCTTTAAATTAAAATTAAGTTGATCTTTGTTATCTCATTTCTGTCAACATCATCATTTAAATAAGTTTTTTTACAATTTTCAATAATAAAGCTTTTGAATAAATATTAAAATTCTGAATTTTTCTTTTAGTCAAAACCTAATCGTCCAATGACTGCTTACATGTTATGGTGTAGTGAAAACAGGAGGAAAATTGTTGCACAGCATTCAGATATGGGTAAGCTTTTCAAATTAGCATATTTACTTGAACAATTTTTAATACTTTTATTGGATTTATTTTCAAGTATTAGCTTGTCACTAACTGCTTGATTATCTTTATATAACAAAGAATTTATTGGTAAATTATTAAATGAATTTACAATTACTATGGTTTTGATCAGTTTTATTTTATATTCAGGTATTCATCATATCTGAATCTTAATTACATTCTATATTTTTAGATGTATAGAGAAAATTTAAAATCTTTATACAAACCTTCATTTTCAAGCAGTTCAGTTCACAAACAAAATTTTGAACCCATACTTGCTCTTGGTTGTCATATGATAACTCAGTTGCCAAACAAGCTTCTCAGAAAGAGAAGCTTGTTTGGCAACTTGTTTGGCTACAGATGGTCAACTTCCTATACTTCATATTTTAAAGAAAGTCGACAGTTTGACCAACCAACAACAGGTCTATCAATTCAGAATCTAGTGATGCTGAGACTTGTCTCATGTCATTAGATGTCATAACATGAATTATCAATGGCATTTATATTTAAATTAAATTTCAATGCACATGCAGGAAAGATACTATTTCTGTTTTTCAGTACATGCCACAATTAAATCAAAATCAAATTAATTAATAAAAACCATAATTGACATTCACATAATATAAATGGCATCCAAGAATTCATGTTTAAATATGTTTAAGTTAAATTGAATAATAATTATTAACATTGAATAACAAGAAATTATTAATATTTAATATTTATGAATAATAGGTAACCAGTTAATTAAAACTAAATATAATAATTAAAACTCTGGCCTTTACACCAAAACTGAAACTGTAATTTAAAAAAAAATGTGGATAAAGTAGCTGTTATTTATCTTGATTAATTTGGTTATATTTCATACAAACAGTCAGAGTTGAGTCTCTATTAAAAGCATTTCTTTCTAAAGTGTTAGTTTCAATTGACACTGACAGAATATATGCTTTTAATATATCTATTATATATATATTATTTAGATATAGATAATATAATATTATATATTAAATACATAAAAATTAAAAATAATTTATAAGCATTTTTTATGCATGAAAAAAGGTGAAAAAAAGGTTTGTTTTGGAGCTCAGGAACAGATTAATTTGTTTCAGTTTTAGAACAAATTGCTTTTTGAGCAACTTTTACAAAAAAAAATAAGTTTGAAACCCAAGATTTGATTGGATTCGTTATCAGAATAAAATTTGAAGGATTTTGAAATGTAAAGGTAAATTTTACATAGACAAAAAATTATAACAATGATGGACAATGAAAACTGATTCTCAGTCAAATTTATTGATATCTGAGATCATAAGAAATATATCCTTAGGCCAACTGTTGTTGTTCATTAGATTGCCATTGTAATTTTGTTACATGCATGATTTGATCTTAAGAATCAAAATGATTATAATAGGATAACAACATTTACTCACAAAGATAAGGTATAGTACAAAAATATACCTTATCTATGTGAGTAAATGTACACACCCCATGTGCAGTTGTCATAAACAACAAGAAAAAACAGAATTGTTTACAATTTTTAAAGAAACTTTTCACTAAACAAAGCACTCCATTTGATCTAATCTCTGTAATAAAAATTAGCACATATATGTAACAGACATATCATGCCTGGAAACATCATTATACACAAAACATGAAGAAAATAAATTTACATGCACCACACACTTACATAAATCATTACTTTGTGAATTCTCTTTTTGCAACATGCATATTGGTAACTTATTGATGCACCGTTGTAATGTAGGCATGACAAAAGTTTTGTGGAATGTTGGCCAGTGCTACTTCAAGTACTGCCTTCTCAGGTACTTGAAGCAGTACTGTAGGGTTTCTGCACCTCTTTCTGGAAGATAAACCATAGATCAGCTCAAGGAAATTTGGGTTACACTCCAGGATTTGGTTCCAATTATGGTGAAGCCAAGCAGCGATGGCACATGCAATATGTGGCTTGACAAGATGTTGGAAGATCAGTGGATATAAGTGGCCCACTGAAGGCAGGAAATGCTGGTGCAAAATTGCCTGGTAGCATTATACGTTGACAGTCCCATCATATGAAACCAAATCATCAATGCCAGGATACTCCAAGCATTCCCACAGTGCACCACAGCTGGAAACTTGACCAAAACTGTATGAAGCAAGAAATTAAGTTTTTCATTGAGATATCTTATGACACTTTGCTCAATAGTTCCAAATAGGACTGGGAAAGGTGACTTGCCAAATAAAGTAGCTTCTGCCATTGAGTTACATTCCGTATAAGCAGTGGTGATATTCAGCAGGTTCGCACAGGTTCGGCCGAACCCGTTGTTAACATTTTCAAAGTTTTCCGAACCCGTTGTTAAACACACGTAACATTTCTCAGTGATTTTGTTTATTTAAAAAAATATATTAAAATATATGTATTATACTCTAACACTACTAAACTACAGCCTTATACCCTGTTCGCCTGGTGCAACCTCCATCGACCGTTTCAATCTCGACTGAAACGAGGTTCAATCGCGATCGACTGGAGAGAGTGCTCGAAACTATAAATCCAGTCATAAGAGAGATCCCACAATCCCACGCGCGCGAGAAAATACAAGATGGCTGCGGAACACGTGTCGTAATAAAATATGTACAAAATAAACCATTTTGAATACTCTTTTTTATTATTTATCAAAAAAAATATATAGTTCTGTCATAAACAATGTTAAATTTTAACTGACTTAATTGTGCGAACACATCTTTTTTATTTATATGAGTATCTTAAGGTCTGTTTTTGCGATAATGTTGCTAATGTACCATTTGAGCGAAAAAAAAATTAAGGAAAAAATTTTCTGTTAGCGAACCCTTTGTTAAATATTTTGAATATCACCACTGCGTATAAGTGATCCCTCCAACACTGAATTGATGTTAACATGGACTTCTACTTACTTTTATACAAACCATAATCTGTCATGTAGTCTGTCACTAACATATGAAATATGGGATAGTCTATGTCCATTCCACAATTCTGCTGCCTCCACAAATGTACTAGGCCAATATTTCACAATAAGGTGATACCAAATTCAATCTTTCCTGGTAGTTGTTGCAGTCCAGCATATTGCAGTGTCCAAGCATGATGGAACCAGTCTTGAAGTATCAGAGAAATGTCTTGATATTAGACTTGTTCACATATCAATACAATTCCTGAAAAATTTACCATAAAGCTATGCCATTCTGTTGTTTCTGAATCTGCTCACATCAGCTGTTCTAACCTCTTCCATCACTTTGAATTCTGAACAATACAGAAACAGCACCAGATTTTATACTACTATTTGTATTCATGTTTATGGTTATGTTTGTCTTTTGTCTTCATTTTATGCAAAGCACAAAGCTACAGCTTTGCATAAATTTGCTTATCTAACCAAGTAACAACCATGAGTACAAGATGTGTGTTTGTTTATTGCCTCTGTGTTTTGAGCTAATGATGTTTCCAGGCATACATCAAGATGCTTGTTACAGTGTGTAATGTACTATGGATTTTTATACGACATGGAACTATGTGCCATTAAGGTGTTTGGGACTATCGTTGAACTTTATGACCGTTAACCTAATGCGTACTTTACACGGGTTCATGGTTAGTATGCCATGCCTGGGCTTACGCGTGCACCAGAAATAACTATATACAAGAGTCAAATATTTAATATTAACTCAATTATTCACTATGTACAAATTAGTAAGAATGAAAACAATTTATTCAATGAAAAGAAACAAGTCACAAAACCCGACAAAAATAATACAGTCTACTTACTAACTTAGAAACTATTCCCCCTTGGAACTCATCAATATCAATCAATTAAACTATGTACAAGAAATCTTAGAAGTTACAATCCTATCCATCACTTCAATACTAGGAACCCTTTTTTCCTTTATCCTTCGAAGCACTCCTATCTCTATTCTCGAGCCTTGCTTCCAATCTTGCTCTGGAATTCACCTCAATCACTTTCTGACCAGGAGCTCACCTCACTCTATCCTTGTCTGGAGCTTACCTCGCTTGTCTTCTCTGGTTGTGTTCATTTTATACTCTGAGCTGACGTCACAATTATTTCTGGAACCACTCCCCTCATTTACATACTTAACTTCTAACAATAAATTTGCATGTCTTTTCCTGGGCAGCCTAGTTTCTGACATTTCTCGCTAAATCCTTTTACATTATTCTTTTTGTTACATATTTGGGATGTTTATTTTATCAAGGTTTAGCGAGTTCTCTACTTTGTGCGTGTGGGGTGTTCCCCCTTCTTTCTGCAGAACTTCTTTCAAACTTCCGCCTGGGAGCACAAGTGTGCGTTAGTTTCCCTATGGTGCTTCATTTATAGTGAGTTGGATTTTTCCTTTGTCTGTTTTTGTTTCTTTTTCGTTACTAAGGTGAGTGGTGAGGGAACCTTTGTCCTAGCTAAAATGTAAACTCCAAAAAAATAGAATAAAAAGCAAAATAAAAATTAAATAATAATACAGCTTGGACTCAGTTCCTTACAAGTGTACTGATTAGTAGTGCAAAAATGTTACAAACAAAAACTTTAATTTATTTAATATTTTATAATCATTTGAAAGTGGAGATGCCATGACATTAATGCTATTTGAATGAATTTCCACTGCATGTCTAAAAAAAATACTATGTACTGATTTTTGTTATAGACTGTACCTTATAGTACTTTATTTATTAAAAAGTTTCTGCTTTTTACTAACTAATGATCTGCTTTTCTTATTGTTTATGACAACTGCTAATGGGATAAATGTATATTTACTGCCACACATAAAGTATACAATTTTAGCTGAGTCTATGTACATTTTATTGACAATATTAGATTAAAGAATGGAACCATTTTGTATAATTATATCAAATTCTGTAATATATAGCCTGTCATATTTATTGATATCTGAGATCATAAGAAATATATCCTTAGGCCAACTGTTGTTGTAATTGTCATTGTAATTTTGTTACATACATGATTTGATCTTAAAAATCATTTTGATTTTTAAGATCAAATTAGTTATTTTGTATTTGAATTTTATTTGACTTGAAAATTCAGATTCATCATAGACCTTTCTATTACTTATGACTAATCTACAGTTGAGTGATCATTTTTTTTTCAATTCTTTTTAACCATATTTTAGAAAAGAACAATTAACATTACTAGTTTTCAAAATATTTAAAATTGTTTTCAATGACTTACATTGTAAATATAATATATCTGTCTAATATTTTTTAGTCTTGCAGTGGAAATTCATTCAAATATTATTTATGTCCTGGCATCTTTAATTTATTTAACATTCTACAATCATTTGAAAGTAAAGTTTTTGTTTGGAACATTTTTGCACTACTAATTTAATTGAAATTTATTCATAAAACTTCTTATTTATTCTTCTGCTAGAAATTGTCTGGGAGATGAATAATTTATCTTCAAGATAATACATTCTGGCTCCAAATATAAATTTTATTATAAATTTTATTAAAGAAATCAAATTCGTAATTCAAACTTTCATGTAATACCAATATAACTTGTTATAACAATAACTACATTTCAGCTGATGTTTTTAATTTTTTTTTTTTAACTTATCTTATATAGAGAAACTGTTTATATTTTGTAGCAAAGTTTAATTTTTTTTTCCTAACAAGGTTTAAAAATAAAAATATTTTTATCAATATATTTGTAGATTTTTTATTTGATCAATCTAGTCTTTGATAATTTTATATATATAAATGTATTTTAATTTTTATTTAGATTTTGCTCAAATCAGTAAAAAAATGGGAGAAATTTGGAAATTAATGCCAGAGAAAGAGAAAATGGTAAGATAAATATTTAATTTCAAAAATACTTCTGATTTGTGCATTAAACCATGCACAAATCAGAAGTATAATATAAAATTTTAATATAATAATTTAATATTTAAGAAGTTTAATATAAAATTTGTCCTTTGGCAGAATTTTTATAAATTTGAAAAAATTCATTTAATTTGATATACTATATTGGATGTTGTTATAATTATTGATATCTATCAGATAATGGATTTAGAAGGCAAGTTCTAAGTTTACAAGTTTAATTAGCAAAATTAGATATAGAAATGTAGTAATTAAATCTAATGCTTTGGTTATTCAGTACAGATTGAGAATCCTTTATCTGAAATTCTAAAAACTGAAAAATTCAAAAGATTTTGAATGCTGATATGTGCCAAAATAGAAAATTCCAAAAACCACTGGGAATGTTTGCAAGTGATATGCAACTGTTGTACTATGTGTGCTACTTGACTGAGTGGGGCTTGCCCACCCCATTTAATTTGACAAAAGTTTTTCAGTCTAATATGTTTCAGCACAAGTGTTCTGGCACAAAAAAACTTATTTAAAATTAAAATGCTATTTTTAATTGAACATTCTTTCAAAGGAATTATTGTTTTCAATTCTTCAAAATCAGTTATGCAAAGAAAAATTTTTAATAGGTTATTGGGAGTGGAGTTACTTTTTTTGGTACAAGTTATTAAACTCTATTTTTTCACACATGATCTGAAGTGAAGCATACTTCACTCTGAGAATAAATATAAATGCACATTTACTTTTACTTTAAACTATTTTTGTGATTATTACAGAACAGAAAAATTTCAATTGTTATTTAAGAGAGTTTTTCAGTTACTTTTTGTCTCCTTTACTTATTTTGTGTTCTTTAAATTGACTTGGAGTATTTTTCCTTATAAATTGGTAAAACAGAATTTATAAATTTTAGATGATGATATAAAAGTTCAGTTTCATTATATTTTACTTTTGCATTAATAAGATTTTTCTGTTCATATCATGATTCAAAAGTAAGTATTCATATAAAGTTAAAAAAGATCATTTCATCATTTGTTAAATTTCAGGCTTGGAAAAGGAAAGCAAAGAAAGCAGCTCATAAAGGATCAATGATAAGCACCGGAAGGCCAAATCATTCGCATCCAAAGTTTTTATCTAAGACTCATACGACCAATAATAATAAGTTGGACGAAGTCAGAAGCCCGAATCACGAGGGATTCAGGCCCGTGGGAACTTCCTCTCTTGATGTGGCGGCACATCTCAAACTTTTAGGGGAATCATTAAGTATCATTGGTCAACGGCTGACCGAACACGAAGTGAGTAAATAAACATAATTTCATATAGAAAAAATGGGATAATTTAACATTAATTATTTACAAAATATTTTTCAGGGTCAAATAGCTGTATCAGGCAGTCTTTCAGTTCTATTAGATTCCACTCTGTGTGCTCTTGGACCCTTACTATGTCTGACATCCCAGATGCCAGAACTGAATGGCTGTTCTCAAGAAACCCTCTGTCACATTTTGGATAATATTGCTTATATTATGCCTGGTTTGTGATTTACATTAACTGTACATTTTATTACACAAAATCACATTTTGAATTTCATGTTTTTATCTCAAAAATTGCTCAAATGACAATATAAATTATTTTAGGAGCTTTGTTAACTGTATAAAAGTTTTTGGTGTAAAGTTTGCAATTATGTTTATGTAATCAAATAGGTAAAAAGAGTGAATAACTTCAAGTTAGCAAAATTAAAACACGATTTTAAAATCAGTTGTAAAATATAAGAAATCTTGAAGCATTAATTTCAGATAATTTATGCTTCATTTAAGCAATAATGAAGTTTGTTTCTTGAACGAATGAGGGGGAAAAAATTTGATATCAAAATACTTGTTAAATCATGCATCATATTGTATAATTGCTTTTTGTAACAAATAGACTTTACATCAGTTTCCCCACTCAAATATTTTGTTTGTATAAATTCTTTTTAAATAGATATCTTTTATGGAATGACCGAACTCATAAATGTATATACGGAATCATTTCATTAACAGATTTTAATTCCATCATGTTTTGTAAATTAGTTTGTACAATAAATCAAAAAGAGCATTTAAACTAAAACAATAAAAAGTGTTGTTGAATTTACAAATGGAAAGTGATACAGTTTATCCCATTTTCTCTTGATGATTTTATTTACATAATATAATGACTTTACCGTAGATAACTTTTACGAAAATAGAACTTAACTATACAATTATGCAATAAACATTTTAACATATACAAGTCATCAAATAAATAAAAGAGAGATAAATATCAAAGTATTCACAAAAAAATTATTTTAAACAGTTATTACACTCAAAGGAAATTCAAAAAAACAGCACCTCTTCAATTTGAGCACCTCTGACATCTAATATACAGACTTTAATATATATATTTACATACACTTCTTGTTTGAAACTTATTATGTGTTAAAACTGACTGGGATCATAAGATGAATACTGTTTTGGCATGAATAAATATATGTACTCCTCCGACGACTCTCGAATAGTGAATTGAGGTCCATCAGTGTGAACTGGTTTTTCGGGGGGGAGTTTACAATATATGCAATATGAAAATGTCTCACAACATGCTAATTTAAAAGAACAATATTTTTAAATTTGTCAAATTCAACATTTTTACTACAAGTAAAATGTTGTCAAATTTACCTTAAGAAAACACTAAACAAAAGTAATGGGATAATATAAATGCGTTTTTATATGCTTCAAAATAATTGTGCATTTATTTAACGTTTATCAGTTATTTTTGAGGATTACTTTCATGCAAAATTACATACTTTGTCTGCCTTTGAGAATAAAAATATTTTCTCTAAAATGTTTATCGTTTAATAAATATCCATAATAAATACAATAGTATTTATACATGCAATAAAAACTGATGACAGATTTTTCTTTCATATCAAAATTTTTTAGTAGTGTTTTCTTAAGGTGCAGCATGCTTATTCTACAAATATATCAAAACAAAATAAACTATTTCAGAGAAACATCATGGTGCTATACATTTATGTTAGCCCACTTCAACACTCAATATTAAAAGTAATTCTAGCAATCTAAAGAAGGACCGTTTTGACGGTTGCATTTACAAAAGCCGTTCTTTCAAATTTAAGCGTTGTTTTGGTCTTGTCATCATCATCATCCTCATTTTGCTAATTTGAGATATGTTTCTATTTGGAATGTAAACTTCTTAAAAGCAAAATATGCCTTATAAGAAGTATTAATATAAACAGTATTACAAATGCAATTTCTTTAAAATTATTGCAATAAATATCTAATTTTGAAATTTGATTCAATTTGATTGAAGTTTTATAAAAAATTGACAGACGCAAAGTTTTTATGATTATTTATGATAAGTTCTTGCATAAGTTTTTTATCAATACATTAAAATATTTTAAATTAAAAAAAGAACTTTGAAATAGTTAACCTCTTAAGTAATTTTACAAACATATAATAATTACATTCTACAAAATTTCTTTAAAAAGAATTTGTTTTCTTTATTTTACAGATCTGTCCATTTTAGAAAATATTTCTAAAACATGTTCAGGATAATTATATTACATTGCAGAAACTGAAATGATAGTGACACTTACAATTGAAATACAAGTGCATTTTGTAAAATAAAAAGCTTTAAATATAATTAACTTAAGAGGTTAATTATTTAATATTTTGGATTACAGAAAATGTGTGATGGCCTACTCTAATTTCTTAAAGATTAAGTAAATTTATGCGAGAGAACGGCACTAATAAACACAAATGATTAAAAATAAATAGATTCTGTACATACAAATTGACTACAAGTAATTTTGGCAAATAATTTACAGTTTAACAGCACATCATTTAATGGTGTGCCCATCTGGAAGACCAGTTTGAAGCCTCTTTATGTGATTATATATTTTGAGTGCAGGACCAAGCTTGATGGTCAGTCCCGTCAGCACATCACTTCGCTTCATTAAAAGAAGAGACTTTCCATCAATTTCCTGTAAATTGTATATTAACAATTTATTTTTCTCAAATTTACATTTGCAAAGATAAAAATTGCAAGATCAAAATACCTGCTCTTTAAAAATAAGTGCTTGTTCGGAAAATCCGACTGACGCTAAAAATTTTTCGACATCGTCGACCGTCCAATTTTTTGCATCTGGTATTACATCTGGATATTGCAGTTCGGTGCTATAAAATCACAACAAATTTAATAGTAGTTATAGACTAAAATTTTTATAATACTTACTACTAACCATTATTGCTAATCATTTTTTTAAAAATACAATTAATAATAATGAAATTATCACAGAAAAATTTTATTATTATTCTATCATGCAGAAGACACATTATGTTTCGTACATAAGTGAATATATACATCAATTTTATTTTCAAATTAGGATTCCTATATTAGGAATTTCAATACACCTATGTGCATTTTATTTGAATAAACTAAGAATACCTTATGAATGCTCATTAACTATAAAATAAATATCAATGATATTATATTAATTTTTTAACTTCATTCACATGAGACAAAACATTGTAAATGTCTGTAAAAATTTGCACAAAGTTCATTTCTTAAAAAACCAAAAAATTGGACATTTAATTTTTGATCTTTTGAAATAAAAAAGAAAGTTACATTAATAAGTTATGGATTATTTGTAGTCCAGAGTTTGATTTTCAATTATTGAAGCAGTATCAAGATAAAACGTAACATTTTAAAACTAGAAATAATAATAGCATTTTAATATGAATAGCTACTGAAGGATTTGCATTTATAGCATCTTTTAATCAAAAAGGATTTATAAATGAATTGCATATCTACACATCCATTGACGAGTTACATTGAAAATTATTCTTAATTTTTTTTCTACTATTTATACATTAATGATAAATTCTACTATATGTTCTAATTTTAAAGTTCAATAATCAGCTGGAAGAAAACACAGAAATTCTATGAAACTCAAGTGTTGCATGATATTTTTTTAAAGGTCCTATAGAAAGAACAACGTAAGATCTTTATTTTCTTAAATTATTGGGCTGCAATTTGAAAAAATTGTAGACCTATAAATTCCCACTGTCATTCATCTGACCATCTTTCCTTAATCTCGAGACTGTAGTTAAATAGATGAAAGACAAGACTAAATATGGAAATCTTAGGGCAGGAGGCCCCGACTGAACTATACAAATTTCCGATGCAAACTGGAAGTTGTTATTTCAATTTAAAAATTTTCCCTTGAAAGGTGTTAGATAGATGACTGGTATGACTCTATTGTTAAAGGAAAAGTATGATGTACAGGGGAAGTCACTACTAATTTGAGATGGAAAGCATATATTTTAAATTAAATAAATTAAAAATTACAGCCAGACATTGTGACAATGTCACAATAAATAATTGCTCATTATATATTATATAAATTATCCATCAAATTTTGAATGTTCATTCATCCAATTAATTAAAAGAAAATTTTCTTACTTTTTATTACAAGCAGTACCAACGCAAGTACTACCGAAATCGCCTTGAGCTATATCTCCTGGTACCGGTGAATCACAGGGAGTTGGTAAACCTGTTGTATTATCTACTCCTCCTATGTATAAGAAATATAATTTGTAATTTTTTGTATGAAATATTTAGACAGTTGTCCTTAAAGAAGAAAGTAAAAACAAAAATCAAACATTGTACAATTTTCAACTGGTTTTTGTTTTTAATGTATGAAACTAGATGACACTAAGCTTACCTATCCTTCCTCTGACGATTACATTTCTCTGTTCTGAACTGACTCCCGACGAGTCAGTATCTGCATCTTCTGTTCTGATATCACTAGTGCATTGATGACAAACCCATTTCCCTAGTAAGATGATTATTTATATTAAGAATTTTATTTTTCATGCTTTTTTAATGAGAAAATGAAATTTTTTTATGATAAACAGAAATAAAAGTTTATTAACAAATTGTTTGAATTAAAACTCATATAAAGCTAAGATTATTTTAAAAAGGCTAACCTNAATGAGAAAATGAAATTTTTTTATGATAAACAGAAATAAAAGTTTATTAACAAATTGTTTGAATTAAAACTCATATAAAGCTAAGATTATTTTAAAAAGGCTAACCTTTTGGCTGTTCGCTAATTTTTGGAATATGGCAGTTCATATGATAGCCCTTGTCACACGAATCACAAAACAGCATTGAGCCCTAATACAAATTATATATTAAGAAAATTATTTTAAAAATAAATGAACAAAGTTATATATATTTCATAATTTATTAAATTTGTAATTAAAAAAGGAAGATGTAAATTACACTAATCTACAGACCAAACTACACATGAAATATAACCACAGTTCCAAATTTTCTATAAATACATTTTTGACCAATAACTTAAAATCCTCAGTCACAAAATTAAAAAGTTAACATATTTTACATTTTGAATTTTGTATATTCTCTATTTACAGCAAATTAATCTAATAATGATCTCAATGATTATTAACAGAATATAATAACCTCACTGCAAAAAACCATAACTTCTTCATCTTTATCAATAAAGGATAATAAATATAATTATCAACTGGACTCTTTTTATATTTAACCATTATATTGTTATAATTTAAAAGATTTTTCCCTTTCAACTTATTACATTGATTTTTATTATAACTTATTTGCATATTTCACATTGTAATCCACATGAACTGCATATACTGTATATGATTAATGTATATGTATATTGTATGTATGTATATTGTATGTATACAGTATATGATTAATGTATATGTATATTGTATGTATATGATTTATGTATATGTATATTGGGTATGTATAAATTCTTTATAATACAAATGCCCAAACACACAATTCAAAGTATAAATTACAGGAAAAATGATTTTAAAATATTTAATCCTTTGAAAATTATTTATTATTATTATTATTAGATAATTGTAAATATACTATAAGTTTCAATTATATTAATTACTAGAACCAAAGATCACATTAGCAGAACCAATAGATGACAAACAGATTGAAATTTTTTAAAAATCTTTCTTCATTTGCCTTAAAACTATAAATTGAAAACAAAAAAATAATTTATGCAATTTAATGTTTTCTGATTTACTTATGTTTTTCAATTTTAATGATAAAAATACATGGTAAAGTTAAGCCAACAGAAATACAAATTGCATTTATTATAAAATAGACATTAATAATAAAATTTATAGCTTCTCATTTAAAAAGTTATAATTACCCTTTATGTATATTCATTACTCTGAGAATAAAAATGAATAAAACTATTACTACAATGATTATCATTTTTATTTCTAAACATTTTCATGTTATTACAATTTAATTTGTCTTTGAAACTAAACCAATATTTTCTAATTTTTTTACATCTTACAACTGACAGAGATTAAATAAATAATAATAAAAATTAAAATTTTTATACTCCTAATTTAATATTTTTATAAATAAATTATTTAAAATCTATTGAATTTATCTTAATAATTTTAAAAATACAATCATCATTATCTGAACACATTTGAAAATAATTTTTTAATTTCAGATTTTCAAAAAGTTAATTGAATTTGTGCAATGGAAGTAAGATAAATATGATTAACAAATAATAAAATTTATCATTATTTGAGTAGAGGAGAAAGAATCGTTCCTATTCTTTTGTACACAGCAGGAATGATATTTAATCTGATAAAAAAATCTTTTTCAGAACTATTTGAGTTAATCTACTGCTTAAATTGAAGTACAAAATCCATATTTATCAAGTATTAATAGTATTTGAAAAAAACTGTTTAAATGTAAACATTAAGTTATCAAAATCTGATGTGATCCAAGTAAATTAATTTGTTTGCTTACATTACATTTGTATTACTCATAAAATACAATTTTGCAAAGGAAATATTTTTGTCATCTTAAATTAGTGCTTTATAAATTTTAAATTTCTTCCTTTCAAATAAATTTAAAAATTAATTTCAATAAAATATTTTAGATGCAAATAAAAAAGTTAAAAAAAACTTTCAAAAGATTGCACTAAATAAATGTCAATTTTATCATCACAACTAATGCATTCACATTAATTTAATGTGAATTTGTATTCATTCTTTCTGTAAAATTTGAAGTTATTCATAAATAATTGTCTGTATTACAAAATTATTAAATTTCCTAAAAATCATTAAACAAACAGTTTCATAACAAAGATGATTATTTTGAAAATTAATTATAATGACCTAATAAAATTTTTAAAATTCATATAAAATGAAAAACATCATTTTCAATTAAATAATAATAATTTAAAAAATAAAATCTGTTATATAACATTTCAACCTTCTAAAAGCAAAACAAAAAGAAAAGAAAATAGCAATAATAAATTACTGAATAAATCAATTACATAAAAATATTTATAGGAAAAAACAGCATTATCTTACCATTAATATAAATATCTGTTTAATAATTCAAAACTAATTTCAATACAATAATAAAATTTATATAAAATGCTAGTTTCTTTCAAAACTACTGTAAATGTCCTTAACGAAATTAAAACAGCATTCAATTAAATTTATCATTTGATAAGTTTTAATTTCATATTTAATATATGTTATGTACAACTATATTATCTATATACAAACTGTATATTGTATATAAATTTTTAAATGATAAAAACTGAAATTCTTATTTACATTATTAACACAATATTACATATAAAATAAAAAATAATAATGATTTAAGGAAGGAAAATAATGTTTCCTCATTACAGTGTTATATTTTGTTTCATTTAATATTTATATTCTTTATATAAATAGAACAAAATTACTTTCTATAGCGAAAACGAATATACTCATTAATCTGAGTAACGCGGTCTAAATTATAGATTTTCTGACGTATTAGCGAATGCTACTGCATCTCAAGATTTTATGTTTTACATTTATATAAAATCAGTTTCAAAAAGCAATGAATAAATCATAACAGAAGTGAGAAAAACATCATCTAAAAATCAATTATGTCGAATAGGAACTTGCCATTTAATACGATTAAAACAAAGTACTTTCTATATAAGAAGATATTTTTCTATTATATTTTTATAATTTTTAAATTTTAAGTATTGTTTTTTCTATCATTAAAATGTAGCATACTGTAGAATATCAAATAAACTTTTTATTTATTCAGAAAAAAATTCAATACAAATTGTATGTTTGTATTTTCACATATTCAAATAAACTATTGAAAATTCTTCTTTACAACTCACAGAAGAAAGCAAGAAAAGAAAAATTTCTATAAAAAATTTAACTATCAATCAGAATTTTATATATTAAATAGAATATTCTTAATATAAAAAAATTAAACTGTGAATGCGATAACTTAATACAATTAAAACAATAAATATGATTCAGAAAAAGAATTTATTCAGTTAATACATGCTGGGTTAATATATCTTAATCAAATTGACAAACGTTTGCATGATATAATTTAATAATATGAGATAAGAATATTAATCAATAGCAATACAAAATTTAAAGAACACATTTATTCAGTATGTAATAAACATTTTCAAAAAGAAAATTATTATTTTAAAATATTAATTCAGTTACTTAGAAGTATCTGTTGAATTATAAATTAATATGCAACGACGAATTCTATAAACAAACATATATTTTAATATTTATAAGCAGAGGTCTGCATCTTTGTGACTTTTCAATATTTATTTTGTAAGTTATTATAACGAATTCATTTCAGAACTTCTTTAATACGTTTACAGCATGGTCATGTTGCAATTAATCAATTTCTTTGCCATTTTTTCGGTCAAAGAAATTAATTACGTTACTTCACAATATACATCGTGTGACGTAAAAAGCCGTAATTACTTTAATCTAGCGAATGTAACTCGAAAACTTCGTGGAAAATAGCAATAGAATTCATTAAATACAATTCTGAATGTATACAAATTCATATTAGAAAAAACAACATATACAGTATTAGATAATTATTACGGTATATGTTAACTTTTATCGTAGCGAAATAGTTTTATTTTTGGCCACTAGGAGTTCTAGATGACATCCATAATGTCAAACGCAGTTAAATGTCATCGTTGAAAATGTTTGTTATTCATTATTTTAGCTTTAAATTATAAAATATATTTTAAACTAATTCGCTGGAAGAATCACTTTTCGTTCTTGTGATGATGTAATTAGTGAAATCGTTCCGTTAGTTTCGACGAAGTTCGCAAAAAACTTTTGCCATAATCAATCACCAACGTCGTATTATTCCATGACGAAAAAAAAAACAACAACAACAATTGTAATAATATTACGAAATTACCTTTTTATTAAAGTAAGTTTTTCTTAATTTCCTCGATTTTGTAAACATACATCTGCTTTTCTTCGGCATTTCGTTTCCGTTCTATATTAATGCATTATTTTCAACAGCCAACTTCGTAAGCATAAGCATCTATTTACTTTTAGAAGCCGTCGCTAGGGGTATGGTTGCTATGGGTGACGTCACAGGTCATAATGAAAATTAAATTGTTTTTCCAATTACATGTGATTTATTGGGGGGAAAAAACTATTTTTTGAATAATTTGGATTCAAATTAAATTTATTCTGCTTTGTAATTAAATATATTTGAATATAAATATCTATTTTATGATGGAATGATGGTTAAGAAGATAAATTTAATTTTCAGTTTTGAAGCCTTTCAAGCTCAAATACTGTATTTTATATTTAGAAATGTAATTCGAAAACAGATGTTAAAGAAGAAGTTTTATATTTAAATTTTAGTTTAAAAAAAAAAAACTGAATAAAGTTGAGTTGCAAAGTTTAAAAAAAAAAAATTAACACATTTAATTGTTGTGTTGAAACAACTTTAAAATTAATCATTTGATGACAAAAAAAGAAATTGTTTGAAAATGAATGTATTAATATTTCTATTTTATAATTTTAATTTTCTTATATATTAGTAAATATTTTTGCTGAATAACATTGTGTGATACAGCAAATTTTCTACCTAATGGGTGGAAATTTAGCAGCTATTTCAAAAATTAATGTTCATATACCTTTACTTAATTAATATTTATATCCTTTTAATCAATTTTTGAATACAGCTAAAACAAAGATTTTTATTATTCTAAATATCAAAATCTAGATAGATGATTTCAAATACATCTAAGACATTACATTTTTTAATAATAAAAAAAGGAAACT